TGGTTATCAGTGATAATTCTATTATATTTAATTCTAAAAAAGAATTGAAAAAAACTCAGCACATATTGTGCAAGGCTAAGATGGTAAGACTACTAACTATAAAAAAGCAAAAGGAGAATAATGTGAAAAAATATTTTATTAAAGAGAATATATTTTGTTAGAATAGAAGGCCACATCAGATTCTTTGTGTATTTAAAATGCTTCTTGCTTTAGAAAAATGGCACAATGATTTTGACAGGAAAGGAGATAATTAATGGTAAACTCTTGAGCTCAGTGAAAACTAAGTGATATGTGGAGAAAAGAAATGAATCACAATAATGAGAAAAGATTTAGTATCAAATAACACATAATGAGAATAAAAATAAAGACAATTTTTCCCACCCACCTGCATTGTACAATGATCTTTTGTCTGAAACAGAATTGGTTAGAACGGGTTTCCAGTATTATTTTTTAAATCATTATGTTATATTAAATTATATTATTTTTATAATACTCAATTATACGGCAACACTTGATCTGAGCTGATAGTAACTAAATATTTTTTATCCAATTATTATCAGTCAGTGGGTCTGAAGTTTTACAGAAAGTAACAATGACTTTACTTTTAACCATTCAGATTTGATTGGGGTACTATACAATATTGTTAAATATATAAAGAAGCTGGCATTATCTCTAGTTTATATTTTAAAACATTTTAACAGTACCTGAGTATTTGGAAAGTTGAAAGACTAGATAGTTGAAAGAAAAATAATGAACTAGGTCAAACTTGCAAGTTTTTTTATGGCCAACTTGCAACTAGCTGAGAGTCACAGGATTCCATTGTGCTCATAGCTGCTAATGTCGACTGTATGGATTCTAAGACCAACTGGCTGATTTCTTAATTATCTTTGGATTTATGTTTTTATTTTCTGGCTTTCTTTAAACATTAAGACCGACAAATTTTATTGTATTCACTAGGTTAAATGTCTTTCAATCCATGTTTTTTTTAAAAAAAACAATTTTAACTATAAGTTTAAAGATTTGTACTTTTTGGAATATACAGCAAGAGGATGATAACTCTTGGCTTTGAATAGTTTTTTTAATGTATCTATTTTGTAGCTGTATAAAATTTATTTGCATAACATAAACTAAATTATGGAGGCATGGGGTTTTAGAGTATGGGTTTATAGAAACTGAGGAAGATATGGAATGAGAAAATATTTGGCTTCATTTTAAGACAGTGATATGGTCTTACTGTTGCTGGGGCTGAGGAGGGAGATTTATTTTATTTTCTCTTTTTATTTTTAATTTCTTTTTCTGCACATAATATCTGTTCATTTTGTAGTTGTATAAGTTTTACTTGTATTGTATAATACCTAATGAATTTATTGAGAAAATGAAGAAAGAAAAGGCTATACACCCGGCAACTGAGCCTAAGGTTAAATCAATGAAAAATTGATGAATAATTACTTTGTATTTCTAGAACCAAGGTTCTGAGTTATAATATATGTAGATCTGTTTCATAGCATTAAATAATTTACTTTCTGCAGTATTAATGGCACTTACTTCTCCAAGAGACCATTTCCATTATTATGGTGATGAAGTATCTTTAATGAGTACAATTGTGTAATTGTACTCCAGGGCAAAATTCTTCATACAAAAGTATAGCTTTCAAGTACCATTAAGAGATACCTTTAGATATTTTACAATAAACAGTAATTCTACTTCATGAAAATAATCCAAAATCTAAAACCATCCATCCATTCATCCATCCATCCCTATATATCATCTAACTTTCTATGCAAGATAATCTCTGCATCTTGAGAAAGTATTGATCAGACTTGATTCTATTTTGCTATCTTTGGCAGCTTCTAGAAAATAAGATCCAGATGCACCGCAAAATTAATGTTATTACTTTGTCTAGACACTCAGTTCAAATATGACACTGTACTGCAAATATTTCAGAAAATCACTGAGATGTTTTTATTGAATACGGTAATGAAATTATATACATCTCTGGTAAGGACCTCTCCTTAACCATGTAAACAGAAATTAGGACACAATGCCCAACCACCTTTTTTCCCCATTTTGCATGAATGCATTTTCAAAATTAACTTACACAATCATGATTACCTGGTTTAAAATATATTGAAATATATTTTCAATCCTTTTTTTTCTGAACTGAATATTAAACAAGCTTTAGATATTGAAGGAAACTTTTAAAATATCTTATTCATATAACATAATTATCCTTTCAAGTGGGTAATTCTTAAAAATTACCCACTTGAAAGGAAAAACAGCATTCGTTTGAGGGTGATAGGAATACTTTTTTTAACCCTATAAGGGGAATATTTTCATCTGTTGTTTTAATATTTCTATTACAGCTTAGTTATGTTTTCCCAACTATTCCACAAGGATATTCTGTTTTAGCAAACCTTATCAGCTTCAGTTTTACCTAAGTTCTCTAAACATTTTATCTATGTGCCTTAAAAGGCAACCATTTTTGAATCAAGATACATCAGATAGGCTAATATAGAGAATGTGTCTGGCTCCCATGAGTCCTGAGAGAATAAAATTTCACAATTTTCTAGTTCACAGTCCCTTTCTCCCTCCTCCACTCAGCAAGTAAGGAATTAATTCATCATGGAGGTAGCATTTGAATATGAGAGATCATTTACTGCACAAAGTCCCTACAAAGTTGCTATCATTATACAAAAACACTGAAACTGAACCAACATCATAGCAAATTATATTGAGAGATCATGGAAATGGTTTGCCAATAACTTTAGAGTCATCTGTAAGTTGAGTCATGGCAACTAGACTTCTTTTCTTTTCTTTTTTTCTGGAAATTTAGTTGTCATGATTCAACCAACAGGCAACTCTACTTGGATGACTGAGAATCTTCATTAATGTTTTCAGAGTCACATTGCTTCTATGACACTTTTCAATACATATTTTTCTCTCCTCTAGGATGTGATGGCTATCATCATTAGATCTAAACAGCAAGCAAAATCCTAATGGCAATGTGTTTTTATGCATATCAAACAATAAACCAGAGGAAGATGATTAGACTGAAGGTGAGACACTGAATTACACAAGAGTAATCCACTCATTCTATTTTTCTGTTTTGAAGTATCTCTGAAACAATGAACCATGGGACATGGATAGCCTAAGACAAAGGGAACACCCTCCCCATTTATTTGACCTCAATTTAGAAATCGCATTTAGAAAATCTGTACAGATGCTTATCTTTCATTAAGCTTTTCTCTAAGTTTTTAAAACTTTTTAGATTGAAGACCGAGTATGCATTTAATTATCCATGGGGTCATTAAATAATTAATGCACAAATTTATCTCATCTGCCTGTGCAGTGGAATGGAATAGTGAGGCCATTAATCTATTAATAATAGTTGTACAACTTTGCCTACATGAATGTGACCATCATGACTATTATTCCTAAATAAAAGTGGTGCTTTTAAAGATCTATTATTTGTTCCCCTAAACGCTACATAGATTGGGAGAACATCTTGCTTTTCACATTTTCAATTAGGTACCAGTTAAATTTATATATAATATTTTTAATTTGTTATTATGTAGCTATAATGCATAACTATGTAATAATTCAACATTCTCTAGTCTCTCAACTAATTATATATATAAGATAAGGAGTCGAGCTCTGTAGCTCAATGGTTAATACTTCTGCCTATGAGGCAATAGAGCACAGGTTCGATTCCCAACATGGGTATGGCTAGCTGATGAGAGCTAAATAGCTTGAAATAGATCTATACTAGTCTCCCTTTATTTATTTATCAGCACAAACATAACAATTGAAGCCACACTGATGGCATTAACTTCACTACTCAGCCTCTACGT